GGGGCGGTGGGCAGAAGTCGCCATGCCAGACATGCATTCCTGTGTTCCTTTGGAAGAAACGAGACAAAAAACCTGCCTTCTCGTCAAAATGCTGCGGTGGGGGCTTTACCAAGAGAGTCTGGGAAGGTTTGAAGATCAATTTTCACTTGTTTTTGCACCCTCCGTTCGTCCGAGAACGTGGATAGCAGCCGTGAAAAGGGCAAACCTGACGCTGTCGAACTACGATTGCGTGTGCGGGCCACAATTTGTAGTCGCCAGATGTATTTGCTTTGTTCCAACATGACCGAGAGAAAACCCCCAAGTTGTCCGGACCACCCACGGATTCAGTGCGTCTTCAAATTCACACGGCTGCCTGATCGTTCGAACTTTCGTCTGCTCTTTCAAAGTTGTCTGCTTTTTGTCGTCTGCTCGTTGAAACAAAAGCGGCCCGTAGACCAAACTTTGACCCGGTGATTGCAATAAGAAGTAATTGCAGGCCTCAAAAGACTTAAGTAGGCTCGGTGTAAACAGTAGACACAAGATGTTAATTATTGATACCGGTGGCCATCACCTACTTGTTACGCTTTGTCTGTTCCCGCTTCCGATTTTCAGTATCGACGTCGATCATCGCCGCTACCTTTTACACTTTTGCAGCACGAGCGACGTCGTGACCGAAAATAGCTACAAGAATCTCATCATGGTTTTGGCGTTCATTCTGCAGCGTTCATGCGAATGAATCGCCGCACGTCATATTATTTACGGAAAGTTTAGCGGCGTAACGAGCCTTGATAATTTCGCTCAGGCGTTTGAAGTGGTAAGACATTGCGATGAGGACGTAGAATCGACATCTCCAACGCGAAAAAAAGTATGCAGACTCACACAGACGCCAACAACGTGACATTCGAATGGTTTGTTGACGCGGGACGCGGTGCTTCTTGCCCGTACTCCATTGCGCGTGCGTTCGAACTGTCGTCTGCTCTCTCAAACTTGGCTGCTTTTTTGTCGTCAGTTCGTTCAAACGACAGCGGCTCGTAAACCAAACGTTGACCCGGTAATTGCGATAAGAACTAAGCGCAGGCCTCAAAACACTTTTGAAGGTTGGTTGCGGTAAGTCGGCTAAGTGTAAACAGATACAAGAAGTTGTTGATCATTGTTACCAGTGGCCATCACCGACTTGTAATGTCCGATTCTACTTGAGGTTTTCAGTATCGATGCCCACCATCTCAGCTACGGTTAACGCCTTTGCAGTCCGAGCGACGTCGCGACTGAAAATAGCGAGCAGAATCTCGACGTGGGAGTCAGGCTTTAGCGCCCATTCTGCGGCGTCCACGTGAAATGAATCGCCGCACGTCACACTATTCACGCAAAGTTTTGCCTCGATAGTTTTGCTGAAGCCACTCAAGTAGTCAGGCATTGTTAGGAGGACGTAGAATCAACAATTCCAACGCGAGAAAGAGCACGGGGACTCCCACCGACGCCGACAACAACGGCGACGGCGGGTTTCTTGCCCACCATCCACGGCGCATGGGCGGCGCCGGTGACGTCCGCTAGGGGCGCTCCGGTTTGTTTGTAAACATGAGTTGGTGTATAAAGTCATATGCGTCATGTGTTGCTATGAAAAACACACACACTTCAGCTGTCTGACTCGGATTCCGTCTTGGGGCTGTTGTAGTGAGAACAGTGTTTATTAATTTATACGTTTTGTGAACATATTGCAAAAATTGGATTTATTCTGTTATTCTCGTGATAGATAATAATTTTAAAGCAATTAATCATCTAAATACCACAAAACCCATGAAAATGCCCGCAGCTCACTCTTTCACATAACAGCTATCCGAACAAGAAAAGGCAGAGGCAACGCAAAAATATCAGCACAGTTTTTTCAACTAATACAATATTCTATCTTACCTCTAAGGTGTATTAAAGACCCTGTCAATAAAGGGACACTGAAATCTACAAAATATTTTGAAGTTCCACGGTGGAACACGTACGTCACAAAATAAAGTTTCCGCGAAAAACTTGGTTAACTAAATAATTACGATGTGAGACATGTATTCAGTTATGAAAGAATCAGAAATTAAGATTACATATCGAGAGATTCAATCCAAAATAGAGGTTAGTTTCGGTTTCGCTTCAGAATTAAAACGTGCCTCCTGGCGTAAATATTATGCTAAACACTGTCTTTTTCTTTTCTTTTTTTTTTTTTTTTTTTTTTTTTGGATAAAGCAGTGATCAGCGCTCATAACACCCTAGCTTCCTCGTATTACCAGAAATGATTTGTGTCGCTCATTGAAGCCAACACACTAGACGGGCTCAGCAGCGGCAAGCATCTCCGACCCTCACTATACCCGCCATTTTGAAAAAAGCGTGGCGCCACCATAGTGAATTGGAGTCGCGGATACGTCATCGAGATTTGCAAAGGAGGGGAAAAAAAGCTCGTTTTTGTCCTTGAAATTGCACCGCAACTAAGGAATATCTTTGTCAGCGGCGTTGCGTGCGAGTATATTTGGGTCCCACTAGAGCCAGTAAGCTCGTGTAAAGTTAAAAACATTCCAAGCAAATATCGTTGCACACCCCCTTGAATGTACAGTGCACCTCAAACTTAACACCGCCACAGAATTTGCCGTTTCTGACAGTCCTTGCGGCGGCCGATTGAACTATTTGAAGAATGTTCGGGTTCCTGATTTCTATCCCATCCTGAGAAGGCATCCCGAACGTTTTGGTGACAAATTTAACAGTCGACATGAGCTCAATGTTTGGGAACCCAGTGGCGGCGTTAAAGGGATACTGAACCAAAGAATTTAGTGTCCATAATAAGTGGCGCACGTTCTTTTTACGAGCCAGGAGCCACCGGTGTGCGCGAGCACACGCAACGAAAATAACGTCAAAGACCTCCATTCGCGCTTAAGAGGACAGGGAAATGCATGGGCTTCGGCCCAAAGGAGAATAAATACCAGCAGTTCATCTCTACAAGTAGAAGCTACGTGCTTGTTACACCAATAAATCGCTTACCTTTCTACACCAGATACCACTGTGTAGATGAAAAACTTGTCTTTATTCTCCTTTGCCCCAAAGCCTATACATTTCACTGTCATCTTAACCGCGAATGGAGGTCCTTGACATCATTTTTGTTGTGTGTGCTCGCGTACACCGGCGGCTGCTGGCTCGTGGAAAGAACGCGCGCCACTTATTATGGACACTAAATTCCTTGGTTCACTATCCCTTCAGGTTTAGGGAGCCCTGTACCTTCTCATTTTTTTTTTGTTCAAATCTCTAGCTTTAATCTGTGTAACCGAGCGGACTCGGTAGGTTTCCACGATACGCAATACATGCGATGCAAATGAAGGCAGTTCTTTCGACTGGCGAAATTCCAGTAAAATCCTAAGATATTCAAAGTTCGCCCTTTTTACACAGATGCAGGGGATAATGGGCAACTCTGGAAATTAAAAGTGGTTTTATTTTAAATATATTATTGATTCTATAGTTCAGAACGATAAAACAGAAAATACCAAAACGAACTCCCCGAGAACTTTGTTTTGTACTTTTTCTGTCCTGAACTCATTAAAGAGTCGAAACCAAAGAGCTTTTTTTCAATCTCTTGGTACTTTTCAACATGACTTAAATTGGAATTCTAAGATACATTCCTAAAGTTCAAGACCGAACCAACGATGGAAAATGTGAATTAAATATATATAATACCTGCATGAACTTCGGTAATTTATATTTTAAAAAAAACTAATTATGGAACAAATAAATAAACTAGAAGACAAAACAGTTAAAACAAAGGCGACCGGAATGTAGAATCCCATTTCCTTCTGTCCGTTCAGTGTGAAGAGCGAAGCCAGTGATGGTAGAAAGCAAGATCGCGAAAAGTATACGAAAACGCAACAGGGGGAATGAGAAGCACACAAAAGTGACAAAGGAAACCAACAGACTGTCTTAGCGGGTGTTCACACACTACACGACTCGTTTTCTGTGTAGTCGTGCACGAGTGCACGTATATAGCAGTGCATACAAAGCTCACACCCAGATTCGCGTCGGCGCTATCTGCTTTGCGCGCGCCTACCAAGCTCAAACTCCTGTACGACAAAAGTTCGGAGGGAATCGTGTTCATGTGGACAGCTCTTCAACCAGTGGTGGCTGTGTCATTGCGATCTTCAAAGACCATCTCAAGTTGCGTCAAAACTGGGCACGGGTTGAAACTGGACTGTGGGCCAGCGTCGGGACGCGGGGGTTCTTGGTATACTCTCTCAGTGCTGAAACCAATAGCAGGTTTTTCCTGTACTGTCAGCAACTTGCCTTCTGGGAATCACGGTTTCTGAAGCCCCGCTCCTGTTGTCTGGGAAGCCTGTGACCTTACAGCCCAGTCCCAGCTTGGGCCGCTGGCTTCCCAAAGAACCCAGCCCTGGCTGCCAGCAGATGGCTGTCCGGCCAACTTATCACCAAAGACTCTTTCGCGTTGTTGTTATTAATGTTGCTGTTCCCCGTGTGCACTTCTCGCCGTCTATTTCTGCTTGCTACCTTATTACACACATCATCACCAACACTTAGCCAAAACGACACTATTGCGAACTCTGCGTTTTTCTAGCAGTACGCACCTGATGCATCTAAGCCGCACGCTTAAAAAAAATCTTATACACAGCGCACTATGACAAATGCCCGCTTAATTAGCTCAGAAATAAGGTTGCATTATAGATACATCATGTTTAACGTACTTCGTCATTCTTCAAGCACCTCAGGTCTCGTCATAATGAACGATCTAGAAGAGAAAAAAAACTAACCCGTGTGAACAATGCGTACCTGTGGATAAGCCACACTGCTTAAATCTTCCCCTTTGAAACATTAAGCCGCACTTTCATTGCCCATACATCATACAAAAGACAGGGTGATGACTGCGGACATGCAATAAGAATTATTTGCAGTCAGTCTTCAATTATGTTCGAAGCAAGTTGGCTTCATAAATATACGTATGCTTCGATCATGTCTGCCAACCACCTTTCGTATGATGTATTAGTAGTGTGACGGCGGCTTTATAGCACGCGGACGAAAATAACGTAACTACGATTTCTTGTCTGGAGGCAGGTTCGAGCGTCTCCAGAGGCCCGCCGGCCCAAGCGGCTCACCACCATGACCGGACGAAACGTCTTCTCGCCACTCGGTCCCCTGAACCTGACGGTGGACTACCACGGGCCATGGCCCGACGGGCAGCATCCAGTCTTCGAGGCGGGTCCCCAGCACGAGCCTTCGTTGTCCGACGGTGGTCCGTCGGACAACTTCCAGGCGGCCTTGAACGTCCTGAGCTACCTGCACGCCTTCTTCATCCCGTTCCTGATCGTGCTTGGACTCATCGGGAACGGCCTGTCCTTCGTCACCTTCCTCTTCACCAGGCTCAAGGTCCGGGCGTCCAGCTTCTACCTGGGAACCCTGGCGCTGTCCGACTTCGGGTACCTGTTCATCCTGACCTTCGTCTGGCTGGACAAGCAGGGCGTCAAGGTGAGGCCGTGGTGTTGCCTGTTAGCACAGAATGCGTCTGGGATAAGGAGGTCGTAATGGGCACCAGGCATAGCGTCCGCATGCCGAACATAGTAAAAACGCGCTCACGCTGCCAATATGTTACATAAAAACAGCCTGCAGACACTGCCCGATCGTGTTTTTTCCCTGTATGACGGTCCTGTAAGATAGGTCATAGAAATATTGTCTGCAAACATGTTTGAAGGCGACATACATACGCGCCTGTCTGCAGATAATTATGGCATCATGTTTGCGGCGAACACCGTGTCTTTGTATGATGTTTGTGCAGTGTCTTGAGTCTTTCGGACGATAGGAAATCTCAATTAAAGGGCGCCGCCACTTAAATAGGGGTCGAAGAACAGCGTTTCCTTGGTATTGCTGTGGCAACGCGGATGTCTGCTCCATCATAAGATTGCTGCGAACATGGAAGAGGTGTCGAACAGGCGAGTTTCGCAGCCCGACATCTTGAGCGACCAGCAGGAAGTGGAGGTGTAGTGGACGACGCCGTGCCGGAAGCACGAACGCTGAGGATGTCACCGGGTGGAGAACGTCGTAGGAGCTCCGCTTTCAAGCACGTGTTTGTTGCCCTGAGTCCTGCTGCGACTGCGCGTCCGAATCGAAACTTTTTTTGGGTGCGCTTAGCCTAACAGACTGGACATGTGTGCAGCGTAAGCGTTCGGCTGGGGCTCGTACGCTCGGCAGGCGCTTTACTTATTGGAAACGAACCCACATCCGGGCGCTGACGGAACGTTCGGTCACATCACCCAAGCGCTGCGCCCCCCCCCCCCCCCCCCCCCCCCCCCCGAAAAAGAACTGAATCAAATAATTTATGTTGTTTTTGACTCCGTTCGTTTAGTTCTCAATTTAGCCCATAGGGGCGCTACGGTTCGATCTTGTCTACATTGGCTAGGTGGCGCAAGTCGCCGCCCGATTCAAAGGGTTCCACCAGAGCCGTATATGTAGACAGTTTGGCCATTCGTTGGGAAGTATAGGAGACAAATGAGGAGGCGCCATTGGCTGAAACCGGGCTGGGTGTGTTCCAGGGCGTCTTCAGAAATTCGAATGTGACCAACCAGAAGCCGGAAATAATACCCTGGCGGTGGTCGCGAGAAACAAATCTGATAACTGCATTAGAGTAACTCTCAGTGACTGAAAATATGGTACACCCGATTTTCAATCGCGCTCATCCAAAATGATGGTGGAAGAGTGCGACTAGCGAAACGATCGACATAATCCGTACGTTAAGCGCCGAGGGCCGAGAATCTGCCGTCCGAGCGGTCACACTCTGTCTGAGCAAAACACAGTAAAGCGGCGCGTTCGTTTCTTACATCTTTCTGCATGATCATGATCGAAGCATCACGTGCACCCTATTTTCAACAACAAAGAGTTACTACACTTCACTCTTACGCCCTTATTAAAACCATTTACGAACATAGACCTTTGATCAGAACTGTTACTCGCTACCACCGCTAGGGGATTCTTTTCGGCTTCTGGTTGGTCAAGAGAGCATGCCAAGCCCTCTTTCCGAGTCTGCCGCACGCCCTGGCTCTGCCCGCGCCTCCCATTGACGAAACTCTCTACATATAGACCAGCGTCCGCGCCAATTCCAGGGCGCCGCCATGTTTATCTACGCTCGCGCCACCAAACGGAGAGAACTGGCAGGCAGGAGGGGGGGCTGCGTTGGCGGCGTTGCTTTGGGGAGTTGGATGCGGTAGGCTGTCCGAATGCACCGGCACATCGTGAACGATGTCTTCACCAGAAGCCTCCGTGACCCGTTCTTCAACAGATAAGATGTCGTGAACATTCGAGAACTCATCTCGATCAAGAAAACAAGAGAAAACCTTTCTTGTCTTAAATTTTCTCGGTGTCTGCTGACCCTTGACATATGCGTTTCAGTCCGGGCTCATTGCGTAAATATTTCGCTACCGCTTTCTTGTAGCTTTCAAATACTTGATTGTTGGCTTCTTGTATACGACATTACATTCGTGGCACGTCTGAGACCGATATTCGCGATCTGCTTGCCTTTCTGCGGCAGCGCGGCTCTCCCGAGCCGAAATAAGTGGGAGGCGTTCACTTAATCGAACGCCGTTTTAGCGAATGAAAACGAGACCACGACGTTTCATCGAATGACTAGCGAATGGGTCTAGTTACATAGACAGCTCGGATTAGCTTTCTTTTGTAATGTGGCGCCTTGTCTGCCGCCGCGAAGCGGCGAAAACGAGGGCTCCGAGTATGTTAGCACGCGTCCTCCCAGAAACACACACTCTGAGCGTCTGGGTTCGAAACTATTAATTGCCAGTTCTAAAGGATGGTACTTACTTGAAGTGGGAGCTGGAATTCTACGAGGTACCAGGAGACACTTACTATCGGGCAACGAAGCACAGTGCCTGTGGGGGCGGAGTCTAGGAACGCTACTGATTAATATTGTGACAGGCGATCAGTTATGATAGCAGACGAAACTTCGACTCGTTTGTTCAGAAGTTCGCGGTGATATTTTATTAGCCCTCGTTACAGCACACCAAGGATCTTAGGCAGTGAAATTCACATCACGCAGGCTCGTCCGTCGTAGTCAAATGAGCGCAGTCGACGATGAGGTGTAATGAGCTACTAAGCTTCACAAGGAAAATGCGCGTGAGAAAGAGTTTTGAGGAAGTCCAAAACACCGATCCAGCAGACGCACGTACGTACGTTTACTCCGGACTTCATGAACCCGACGGCGTAAGATCAAAGAGCACCGCCGCCATCGCCACCCGGTTTTCTCTGCACTTTGCGCGACGACGGCACTGCAACGGAGGGCACTCGCCTCGGCGTTAACAATCCGCGAAATAGATTAATTTCTCACTCTTGAAGCCATTCCAAATGATAAATGAAAATACCTCGGCGTTGTTGAACATCTGACGACACAACCAACACAACTGTGCCGAGCGCCTGCTCGGCACCGTTGTTGCTCGTGAAGGCCTGCTTATTTGTAGTTGAGACGACGATTCCACATCTTTCGTGGTGCTTGCAATAACTTCGAAGGGCAGGGGAACCTTCTCACGAGGACGTTGAAGACACTCAACACCGGAGCCACCAAAGCAATCGCACAAACCGTCGCCATGTTTGCTTCTTCTTCGTCACTCGCGGCGCGGTCAACTCGTCGCGAGATGTTTTCTGGCTCGGCTAGATGGAAACCAACAGCGGCAAAGTGGCGTATGGACACACGGCTCTCACATTACGGGCACTATACTCACATACCGCGGTAAACAGGACCGATGCCGGCGAAACGGCAGTCGGCACACCAGCGAAGAAGCCCTCAACGGGAACCGGCGGCGCAGGCCGACGCAGCCCCCCCTCCCCGTGAGCGTTTGGGATCGAGATTATTGTTCGCTTTCGCTCCTTGCGGTCGAGGCTAAAAAGAGCACTTCCGGACAAAGGTCCATACGGCTCTGGGTTCCGCCTCATTCACCCATCCATCCATATCCTTAGTGCGCCTATATTACAGAGTGTTTCCAGCTGCTTGATCGAGGTCATGTGGTGCCAGGTTTGCAATACAAGCTGCTATACTTCGTCTCACCCTATGATGGACTAAAAGCAAAGCTACGGATCGCCAGATCCAATCACGAGCAACTTAGAAATTGTTCGGTATTTCGCTTCGATGCACGTATCGGTGCCGCATCTAGGATCACTGATGAGGGGACGGGTTGACAGTGGTTCGAATCGAAGAGCACTGAGCGACTCAACAATTTTACATCGCAAAGAAAGTCACGACATATTGGCTCTTCGCAGCGTCGAAGTTATAGAAATGATGTGTCGCTTTTGGATTCGAGCATTATTCGTTCACCCCTGATCAATGTTAAGCGTTTCATGGAATAGCGTGGAACGTGATTGGACCTGGCTGCCCGTGGCTTTCGCCTTTAGTCCATCGTAGGATGAAACAAAGTATAGGAGGAGCCGAGAGCGTTTATCGTCTGGAAGTGTCTCCAACGTTTGCTCAACGTCTCCGCTCGAATTCCTCCTCCCCACGCGGTCACTCATATATGAGCACATGCATCCTATCTACGCAGAAGGCCTGCGCCGTTAAATTGCAAACGCTCTCCGTGGTTTGAGTTCCCAGTACGGATGGAAACTGAGAGAGAGGGGAGATGAAAGCGCACGGGAAGACAATAAAGCACCGAGCTTGGCCCTTCGACGTCCCCGCGCGCTTTCATCTTCTCTATCTCTCTATTTCTCAGTTTCTATTCGTATACAGTAGTCCCTAAGCATTATGAGATCAACATAATTGGATACGCCTCCAGGCTTGTTTATCGTGGCGGATGTTTACGGAGCTCGACGCAGTAACCAACACCAGATATACACTACTGCGAGCCGACAACAGCCTAACTGTACAGGGCGATTCAAGGAGAGGCCAGGCTGTTTAAATCGACCACAAAATTCGGTTTTTAACCTATCGCGCTACGATTTTGTGCAGCGTTGCCCACAAATGGTGCATACTTTTTTTTTTTTTTTGTAAAATTTGCAAAGAGCGAACTTAGCGGAGGAAAAAGTAAAGAAAGAAAAAGGCTTAGCTCCTGTTGAAACGCAGCGACGCCACCGGTCTTCAAGCGACACGGCGCCGCTTCTCACAGGAGACAAGAGATGGCGCAACGAACGCCGCCAACGAACGAACATACGGCGCCGAGAGCCGGCGTCTTTAGCAGACAATCTTTCCGACTCAAAAGCGGCGCGCGTTCCGCAGGCGGCGACAGTCGCGGAAACAAAAACAGGCGCGATAACAACAAGGAACTGCAGTTCCTTGTCTGCTAAAGACGCCGGCTCTCGGCGTCGTATGCTCGTTCGTTGGCAGCAATTGGCGTCGCGACCGCTTGCGCCATGTCTTGTCTCCCGTGCGAAACGGCGCCGAGTTGTTTGAAAACCGGTGGCTTCGCTGCTTTTTCATAGGAGCTAAGCCTTTTTCTTTCTTTACTTTTTCCTCAGGTAAGTTGGCTCTTTGCAAATTTTAC